CTTATATGCTCTAAAAGGTAGTTGTGACCATCCCTTCACTCACTAGTTATGTCTGCCCTATTCATCCCGCAAAATTCAAGCCCAAAACAATGAAGAGATAGCTGCCAAAGTCACTGTGATACTTGAGATCAGTGCAGAGTTCAAGCCACCATGAACTGGAGATGGCAAAAATCATAACTGGTTCTGAAACTGACATCATTTTCCTCTCTCTTCCCCAAATCTTTCACAACACCCAGAACTGTCCCCATTATCATTTTACAGCCATAGGCTTCATTCAGATAAAAGCTCTTTGCTTTCTTTGGATGATCAGCTTGATTCTTTCCTGAGGCTCATGTCATGGAGAATGATTCCTAGAATCAGCTAGCTTAAGTAGAAGATTCACCTTTTTATGTTATTTTATTCAAACCAACAAACAGAAAAACAGTAGACCCAAGCAGGAAACAGAAGCAAATCCCATCCCAATCTATAAGCCAGGATATTCTGGATCAGAGTATTGACAATGGCTTCTGAGCAAATTCCTAAGTGAAAACATACCCACACTTTCAGCTGTTTGGTCCCCAGCTTAGATGGACTTTGATTTAAATTCACATAAGATCCAAACCTTTAGACTCTGTAGCAGAGTGAGTACATACACTCCAGCTCTCCCAGGCTTCCCCAAAGCTTTATCATCACCACAGAAGGAAAATCATTGTCTTGAGTTAAAGCTCTCTGAGCCGCTGCATGTTTTTCTTACCCATTTTTAACTAAACTTTAGCAATACAAGTGACTAGAATGACAAATCCCATTGTCCGTTTTCTACCTCAACTCTGCCACTGGAAATGGTGCATCCAGGCAGGTCAGTCTATGCATAACATAGACTACAATTACTACAATTCTACAATTAATATGTTTTACAGAACTCCAGTAGTCCTTGTCACCTCAGTTTCCAGCTTCCTGACCCACCAGAGCCAGTCGGCTATTTGCCAAAAATCCTTTGAAAGTCTTGACTATGCATGCTCCTTCTTACTAACTGCTAGGCTCATCTTCATTTCTCTACAATCAGGTTGTGTTCATGCTTGAAACCAGTTCCATATGCTACTTTGGGGCTTCATACTCTTCTTGCAAAGCTCTCCCATTCCTTGCTCACCTTTAAGCAGCATGGTATTCCTACCTTCCACTCTGTGCCTCCTAATGGCCAGGGCTATAGTTATCTCTATTCTATATAGGACAGAGGAATTCCTTAGAATTTCCCTCTGAAAGAAATAAGTTCTCCTTCACCATAAAAAAGCCACAGGTATTGACTAGCCATGCAAAATCACAGAATAAATATTTTATTTTTAGTACATCCAGTTCATAGTTACTACATTGGAATGATAAATCTCACATTAAATGAATTTTCCTTAAATGCTTAGTTACTACAAAAAGAAAAAAAAAAGAAAAAAGGAAAAAAAAGGGAAGTATCTGTGGATAAATAGATTTTACTTTTGTATCAGGCTCACGTTAAAGGGCAAATATAAAAAAGGGAATGGGGACTTAACAACAAGGGGAAAAGCATGGACCAATGGAAGTAGCAGACTAGAAAAGCCACATTCTATTACCATGGACTCAGTATTTCTAAGCACTGCAAATCACTGCAGAAAAAAAATCACAAGCCAAACCCTCAAATTGCATGTCTGCATTTAAAACCAAGTAATTAAAAACTGAAACAGTAATTTCTTTTTACTTGCCTTTTGTTTTTTGAGACTTTTGAGTTCATATTCAAAGACTTTCCTCCTCTGCTGTCACAGCTTCAGGCTTACATATTACTTCAAATAAAAGCTGAGATTCCCACATATCTCAGAGAGATGGAACTTTAAGAATCACAGCAAGTTGCATAAAATTTGATTAAAATCACAGTGTTTAGCAACATGGCCTATTCATTAGGTAGACAAGTCACTTAATCTTTGTCTTTCTTCACTTATGAATTAGCAGGACATATTTCTAACTAGCTTTACAGGATGGCAAGCAGTAAATATAGCATTTAATATGGAGACAGAGAAGTTAAGCAACTTGCTTAAGTTGTACTTGAAGTCCAAAAAAAAAAAAAAGTATTAATATATCAGTTTCTGGTTCCTTGCTTTAGGATCATGCTGTCTTCCTTTAATATACATACTTTCAAAAATCTTTTCACACAATTTTCCCTACTTCTTTATACACTTTTTCTTAAGTACAGTCGAGTAATCCTTCAGCAACCCAGACTCACATGAAACACTCAGAATAACCTCCTCCCACGTAAATTTATGTATGTATGTATAAACAAAGCCTGGCACAGTGAGAATTTGCTGGCATTAGAAGAGTAGTTGGCCTTAATAGCCCAAATACAAGGACTGGCAGCTGGGTGGAGTCAGAGGAGCCCTACTAACAGGTTCCTCGGTGTGAGGATTTCAACAATCCCCAGTCTGAAAAATAAAGAGGATGAATTACCATTAAAATGAAACAGTTATGGGCATAAACAAAAAGAAACCCTCACAAAGCATGCTTTCCTGTGAAATATAAACTATATCCCCAGAGTTCAATAAAGGGTCATTTCACGTTTCAGTTCATTAGCTACAGCACACTGCTGTAAAATGGCAAGTCCAGAAACTCTCTGAATCATCTCTAGAATGATGGAGAAAAACTAGCACCCTCCTCTACAATACCAATTTTTGACAAATTTATCTTATTTTCTATCAGAGTTATTTAAGCAAAACTACATTATAAAACTAGGTTTCCTAACAAACTGCTTTTAGGGTTTGGATGACAATTTTATTATCCATTGTTGCTGTTTTTGTCATTAATATTAATATTGTGTAGCAATTTGCACTATCAAGTTGTGGTATGCTTCAAATACTTCTGTGGAGTAGACAACTGTGTGTTATCACCAGGCCCAGGGAGGTTCAGGTGCTTTGCTCAGGACAGAAACCGTTCCAGCTAGATGTGGCAGTGCAGATGCAGTCTGTAGTGGAGTCATCTTTATACCACATAATACACACAAAGGGGCCAGCAAAGCATAAACGAGTGGGTCTGTTCTGATATGGAAGAAGAGCTGCCATTGGCACACTTCTTCCAGACAGAGGAAAAACAGCCCATTCCCATTAAATCATTCAGAGACTGCCAAGCCCAGCAACCGTCCAAGAATGAGTTGTTGGGATTTTGCTCAAATGCACAAAAGTGCTGGGGACTTCACAGTGACACTACTGGACTGTGAACTGTAGGGAAGTTATATGCTTATTCACCCACTCTGGGAAAACATTGTGAAAACAATTTGTCATTTGATTCGACTGTTCAGGATTCATTACTACACACCTTTCTCCGTATTTACCAGAGGCATTTAGGAAAAAAGAATTCAAATATATTAAAAAAAAGGTCTATGAGCCACAATTACAAAAAGGGGTGAAGGGCATTTGAACTAAGGCATCTCAACCAGATTTCAAACAAGCACTGTTCAGTGATCTATTTTTCTGGGCTGGTTTCCACCCGCTCCCAATCCAAATACACTGTCAGCAAATGTTTTTTTGGCTACAGAGTTATTTCTCTTTCACATGTTAACAGACCTGTGCTGGAAAACAAGATCTTAATAAACCAAAGACTAAGGCTGACTGAGATCAGAATGCAGCTGGGATGAAATACTGTGACTCTGAATTCAGTGGGTGGCACCAGCCCAGGAGGGGGCCTACATAACACAGCCGTGTTTCAAACATAGGGCTCAGGCAGATGTCTACAGGAGGTCAAAGAAAAGTACATTCACACTTAAAAGGAGATTAATTCTTCACCCACAGTAAACCTTAGTCTGAGTGCTTTTGTCAACTTGGTGACTTTCAAATCGCAAAGGTTTCGTTCTACCTTCCACAGCTCTGTATGTTCCATAGAGAGACTGGAAATGCCTTTGTCCTCCCTTTTTAGATTTTCCTGTAGTCTAGGCATTCACAAACTCTTTCACTCATTTGTAATATTCCCACCTAGCCAGTGGTATGTGGGAAAAAGTCTGCACACAATCCTAAATATTAACATGAGCAAACCCTGTATAACAGCAGCCCATATGATTCTGCAGGTTTTAGATATTCATGTCACTTTCAACATTTGCAAGAACTGCATTAGCAACTTAGTACCCTGAGAGACACAAGGGAAAGTCAAGGATATTCTATAGCATGAACAGAAAATAGGAAAGCATTAAATTAGTTCCTTAGAGGGGAGCACTGCCTACTGTTACACCAGCTGGACAGCTGGCATAGCCACGGGTCACTAAGAGTCATGCTCTGCCCACATACGATAAAACAGGAACCGCTAGCTAGTTTAGCAAAGCCTAGAGGAACCATCCTGACAAAGCCCATGCTCAAGATCCTCCCGCGTGCTCTCTTGGCTTCTCCAGTGATGCATGTTTTGAAGCTAGGGAAAATGGATTCTTTCATGCCTTTACACCATCAAAATTTTTGTGTCTAAAACTAAGATCCTTTGAGGAAGGAGGAAAAAAAAATGCCGTCCAAGATGAGTATCTATCATGATACTTACCCTGCAATGCTGGGAAGGAACGTAACCTAGCTCCAGCAACAAAGCAGAACGGGCCTTGCATCACCCATTATAAATAGCAAGGCACTGGAACAGGACGACACGCATGCTTGATGATGAAGAAAAGCCTCTTTGTGCCTATTATACTGCGGATTTCGTACAAGATCAATTTTTAAACATGAGTTGTGTTTCTTGGATTTTTATATAATCTTCTACCCTGATGTGAATGAGACAGCTTGTAGGATATGGCACCTGATTTGGTCCCACATGAGCATTTTCAAAGATGCAAACTTGAGTTACCAGCTAGCTGGGAAAAGAGGATGAACTATTAATATGTAGGTCTGAAAGTACTTAAAACAGTTGTCCAAATCTCTGCTCAGCTCTGATTCTCTGTTGTGTGTACCCTCCCAGACCTTATGGTGGAGCAACCACCATACTACAGTGAAAGATAACGCAGAAATAAGTGCTCCACTGTGTCCCAGAGGAAACAATCCATGTCAGAGAGAAGACAGTTCTGCTTACTTTTTATTTGCCAAGCTCTAATTCTTCAACTCACCCATTTAAATTAAATACAAGTCAATCATAGGATATCATAAAAGTGTTTCAGAAAGAAAGATTTGCTATTTGGAGGACAGAGAGGTGACTGCACAACAGTTATAATACAACCGGAGTTCTTTATTCCACATATGTACATTCCCCCTACCGTGCAATTCCTGTCAATAAATCTCTGTGTGTGTCTATTCAATAATATAACATCTCATTTCTACTTGCACAGCAACAGAGGGAAGCTATCCCTTAGCTGAGATGAGGGCACTTTCTCCCCTTCAAGAAACTTTCAGAACATTCCCTTCTGCACAAGGGATAGGGAAGTGCCTATGCTACAGCTTTTAGCAGAAAATGTTTTTAGAGCAGCTTTGATCCGCATGAACTGAGATAGGCAAGTTCAACAATAGCCCTAACAATGCACCTTCCATGCACATTGCTTGCAGCAGCAAAGAGCACGCACTGCGAATTACCCTGCAGTGGTGAAATGTCCTCATATTGCAAAGTCCATGAGTGACAACAGAAGTCCAAAAAGGCCTCTTTCTCAAATGCATTTAAGTACCTACAGATGCAAATAGGCATTGAGTGGTGTTTTCCAAAGCACAGAAGGTGCCCAGCTGTCCCGGGTTTCATTTCCTTCAAACAAATACTGTGATAAGCTTTGGCTGTTGACAATTATCTGTCACCAAGCCACTTGACGCTAGAACTGCCTGCCCTCTTCCTTAGACAGACTCTGCATAAGGAATGGTGTTTATCCACCATAAAACTGCATCACTACTTGCTTTGTCCTGGCCCTGCCAGTCCATGGAAGAGGTACCGGGCTGCACCGCAGGCACCCAGTTAGTTAGACAAAAAAATACTTTTTTTGGAGGCACAGGGAGCAAGAGTAAGCGGAGAGTTTATGGTGCCCAGCACCTCAAAAGAGCAAAAAAGAAACAGGCACAAAAATCAAATCATTATTGAAGTAGCTTTCTGCTCAGAAAAGCACCTGATGATTTTGTGGATAAATACTTTCCTCACCTTGAAAGGCAAAATGTGAATTACTTTTCCAGTTCTATAAAAAACAGTCATGTTAGTAAAAAAAACTATTAAATATCCCAGCATTACCATATTAGAGGTCAGACCGTGCACCCTTTATCTTGAGGTGGAAGATTACTAAGGAAGCAGAATTGGGTCCTTATGTCCCCACAACAGCCTTGTGAAGTAGGTAGGTACCATTACCTCATTTTTCAGAAGGGGAAACTGAGGTGAAAAGAGATGAATTGACTTGCCTGAAGCTGCACAGCATGTCTGCGAGCAGAATTCAGGTCATGCCTGCACGTCTCTCCACTGTAACACGTTACCTTAGTTCCCTCTCATTTTTTCTCCAGGGCTAAATCAAAAGCATCCAAGTATCACTGGCAGAATGCACCCAGACCAGCATCAGCCTTTCTACAGACTTCTGCTGCTTTGGAAATGATAGCTGCTAGTCCAGTTGTAAACAGGTGCTACAAAATACTTCTCTCGCAGGACATGAACTCCAAAGTACACGAGACAATTCCCATTGCTGTTAGCTAGCCCAAGACCTAAGATTTGGGTCCCTAGATATTTACAAGGCTGTTTCCACTTCAATTAGAGCCTTTTTCAGGCCTTGTCTCCACTCCAGAATTCTAAAGCTAATTAATAAGGCACTTCAGGGGCTAATTCAGGAACTTCCAAATAGATGTGAAGTCCCGTGGGTCACCCATCACCTGCAAGCTGGCACTAACAAAGCACTGGTTGGCATGTGAAAACATATGTACCTGGGGCCAAGAGACAGAACGGCTCCTGGCCTTGCCAGTGCCACAGTGTAAGAAAAACAAAGCCAGCCTTATGACTTCATTGCCCAAGACAGCAGCAGAATCATGACCAGCATGGAATTAAGTTACCTCAGCCCTCAAACAAGGGTGTCTAAATGCAGTGAGATTTGAGAGTGAAAGCAGGCCAATGGAAAACATGGCTGGATGTTGACTTCGAAGGATTCCACTATGTAAGTGAGGCCAGACTAAAATATAACACAACACAACCAAACCCTTTCTTACACTAGACAAGTGACAGCAGAGATTTCTCTGTGCAGCTGCTGACTTGTGGATGTAAGAAGTAATTAATGAATTGTCAGCCCTTGCATGAATGCAGTGTTCTATGTTAATGCTTTACAGATACATACTAGTCATACAATAGTTCAACCCATTTGATACAACAGCCTGCCTTCTCTTTATTTAGAGCTAGATAAATTCTAAATCTCTACCTTGATTGGAGGTACCTTGGATCACTTAATCATACCTGTGATCCAGACACAGATCCCTGGGGTGGTGTAATTAAACAGCACTTTTGGCTCCATCATGGCTGCAATAAGTTTTGAGTTTGGTCATGCCATATCTGATGTGTGACTCCCAGAAGGCAGCAGGCACCTAACACTGGATCTGAAGTGGTGACAAGACTCTATACAGGGCTTGGGGCAATGGGGAGTAGTATAGAGTCCTTTCCTTGTTTAACACGTGCACTCTTCACTGCTCGCGGCTTAGTGTGCTGTTTGCCCAGCTTGGAAATGTGTCCAGGTCAAACATAGGTCTTCCCCATGTGTTGATGGCCAGTGTGACACAGACGACTCCAATGATGTTCATCACTATTCCAGATTTAACCTGTGAGGAAGAAAACCCAAAGCAACAACAATAACCAAACACCGGAACAGCAAATAACAGAAGATTTTCTAGGCCTATTTGTACATACATGAGAAAGAAACGTGGTCAAATTAATGCACAGAAATAGCCACTGCACCCACTGCCCTGTATTCTTGCTTAGGTGGAAATACCAGGGAACACACTGTGCAAAGCCTTTGAACACTTCGCTGTAGAATAGTCCAGGAACTTTAAGGAATGTACAACAAGTTGTTTTTATTAGTTAAACATCAGCTTCTGCCTCCTGCAAGTCTCCAGTTAGAAAATCGGTGAGGTGTGGGCACAGAACCTGGCACTGTGTGGTCTGGCAGGCAATCAGAGAACCAGAGCATAAGGCAACTGACTGGTACCCTCTGTTTTCAGCTCTAGTGGGATCACGGTCAAGCCTTCAGTTATACTTAACAATTCACCAGAAGACACTGGAAGATACTGCAGGCTAACCCCTCTGTGATTATGAGACTGGCAAATTGTCAGTCTTGAATTTTGAACTGGATTTTATGTATGCCAAAGCCTGTGAGCAAGGTACTGTTGCTTTAAGGATGCAAATCTTTATTCAGATATTAATGGCTTACAAGAGAAGGACACCTGGGGTTGGTTACTGCCCATAAGAGCACCCTAGAACTTTGGAAGTACTAAGATAAGTAAAGAAAAAGAAGCCAAGAAAATTAAGCTTATATCATATTTCAAGACAAGGGCAATAGAAAGTTTCAGATAAAAGATGAGGCAATTATCTTCTTACCATATCCAACACATGGATGTGGCCATAGGAGAACACTATTGCATTTGGAGGTGTCGCAACAGGTAACATGAAGGCGAAGGAGGAACTCAGAGTACCAGGCAGCATAACATACAAAGGATTGATCTTGATAGAGACGGCCTGCAATGAAAGGGAGAGAATCATCACACTGGAAGCTTTTCAAAAGGAAAGCAAAGAGAACATACTCCAGACCTTCAAGACACACAGGCTCAGTTCCTTTCCTGGCATTACATCACCAGAATCTGTTTTGAGCTTTTTATAGTGGAATCTGCATGTGGTTAAAGATGACTTTGCTCTTGTTCACTATCCCACAATACTTAAAAACACTGCTTGATCCTCTCCTGTTGTTTTTTTTTTTTGTTGCATGGTATAATTTAAGAGTTCTGGTCAAATTTATCTAGTGATCTTTAGTTTGACCTCAGACCACTTTTTTAGAGGGTTTGCCAGGTTAACACAGGGATGTGATTATAATTACTAGGCACGTGGAGTAATGCTCTGAGACATTACATAAACTTTGTGGGATTCAGAACTTTTAAGGGCCAGTTTAAGTCAGCACCCTTGATTGGGATAATTTTACTTGGATGAAATGGTCCAGAATAAACTGGTTGTACTTTCCAAACTAAAGAAGAAAATAACCCATTTTGTCCCCCTGCACTTCCATGTCAATTCTGCTCAGAAAAGGCAGAAATTACATCTGCTTTTAGAACAAAACCTACCAGGTTTTCGTCCTAAAGTTTAAAATTGTTCCGGCTTATTCTGGGAAAATGAATTTTTAATAATTGAGCCTATCACTTTCTGTATGTTAGCATAAAAACATGAAAGAACCATCCAAAGGAATGAAATGAAGTCCTCGATTTCCCTCCCCCAATTCTAAGTTGGTAATTCAAATATAAAAGGACCAGAAGTAACTGATATTTGGTGATCTGTGTTAAAAAAGTGACTTTCACTTCATTTTCTCCAGTACCAAGGGGTACACCTTACAAATGACCATTACAGTAGGCTTGAACTGACCTCCTTTTTGGTGAGGGTGAAATGGGACAGGCATTTTTAATTAGTTTCTTCACCTAAGAAGTTGGTTTCTCAGGGTTCAGGCATACAGATAGGGTAGTTTGGAGAAAGCTGGCATTCCCACTATCTGTCTGCTTATGATGCTATAAATATCACAGTGATGCTAGGGATATAAATCTGGCTCTATCTAACAACACCAGCTAAAGACACTATCCATTAAACTATGCTGTCAGATATACTATTTCACTGGTTGCTTTCAGAGTAACATCAGAGCAGCATACCAGACAGTAAATCTGATACTGCTTTGCCACTAGAGACTGTCAGTTTATCTCTGGTCTTCCAGTTGACAGGATAACACAATGGAAGTAACTTTAATCTTACCAAGGATGAAAAGACAGGTAGGAAGAGAGTGGCTGTGGCAACATTACTGGTGCATTCAGTGAAGACAGCTATAGCAAGTGAAACTATTACAGCAATGGCCCACGGTGGAACAGATGCTAGTGGAGTCATCTGCTGACCCAGCCAAGCTGAGAGCCCAGAATCCTGACAAAAACAAAAAGCGTGTTTTAGCTAGGCTTAGAAACCCTGGCTTAGGAACAGGAAACTCACTATGTATAACATTCCTGGCAAATAATCCTAAAAAAATGCCTGAAATCAGACACTTGAGAGGCACAGCTAGATCATGCACAAATTGAAGAAACAACATTCATGAAAGTAAAATGATCTTTCTGAAACACTAAAGGAAATTCCTTGCCACAGACATGATACTCAGTCCCACCTTCCCAATTTTCCTGGAACCCAAATACTTGCTCACATTTTGATTATAGTTATTTTTTTTTGCTAAACAGAAACATGAAATTATTGCCAAGACTACTGCAAATACTCAATGAACCACTCACAAGATTCCTGGTGTGCGTTTCTAAGGTTTCTGAAGATCTTGACTTTGTATGAGTGCTCTGTTTTTTGAGCATTAACAGGGATTGACTCAAGCAGCAAAGCCTTCTGCTACTGAGACCAAATGGACAGGACTACAGGCCACAGCCTCCAGATCCAAGCACTGATGAATGTTGCACTCCAGAGCTTTAATTTATCCTATGATTTTAAAAACTTACTAGACACAAAATTTAGACCTGAAAATGAATTTCCCCAAAATCTGGCCCTATTGAAATCTAAATCTTTGATTTAGACCCATCTTAGTAGTGATGAAGGAAACAACATGGTTGACCTCAAGATTCTTGCCTGTTTCAGGAACTTCAGCTGCCTTTTCTGTGAATTTATGAACACTAGCTCAAACCATGGGCTTACAGAATGCAGTACCTTGCCTCACAGCAGCCACTGACAAAAGATTCAAGAAACCCCACTGTAAACAATTATGGAAAATATCTACCCACAAGGGGTTTCTTCCGGACCACTTCAGTAATGGTTTGTTTTAAATCTTAAGATTTATATCCATTAAATAAACCTCAAATGGTTCTGAAACTCTCACATGTGTTATCTACACTTCTATTTTTCTAGTCAGGACTGGGACCAGGGCAATAACACAAATAAGAAAGGCTGCTCTTCTGGTCTGTTCAGCCAGTGAAGATCCTAAACTACTTGGCAAACTCCAAGAGCTCAGATACATTGAAGAAACTTGGTCAAAGAATACAAATTCCTGAGAAGGAGACACAGGTACCTCTCCTTCCAGTTTTTAGATCTTTACTGGGTCTGAATTTGGGTGCATGCCCAGTAATACAGGACAAGATAGCAAACCAGGAAAGTCTGCCTTTGCGTCGGAGAGCCATATATGTCAGGACATACCGTGCTTGCATCAGCCAAAGCAAAGCCTCCTCCCAGCAGCAGCACAATACCCCAGGGCATCTTCCTCTGAACTGCATTCCACTCTAGCAGCGAGGCTGAAGAAAATGAATTTTTCGTATCTGAAGTGAGAAGTGAAAAGCAGAACACTTGTTGAGAACGCTTGTTGGCTCCTGCTCTACAAGACACTAGAGGGAGAGCCCCACAGGCAGAGGCATGTTACTAGGTGACCTACACATCTCAGGGTAATGGTAATGAGTGGGCACCATGCGCCAGCCCTGACCAAGAAGTGAGGAAGGAGGCATGCAATCCCAGCACATGTTTCTACCAATACCATTAGCTGGACTTTCACAATTCCTCTTTCAAATACCTTCTTCAGTCTTTTCAGGGTCAGAACTGCTTCGATTCCAGTTCAAGAACTTGGGTTTACTGGCAGGAAGGATAAAGAGTAGCAGGGCAATAAAAACAGCAACAGTGGCATCAGTGACAAACCTAAAGAAGAAAAAAGCAGGTAGGTTAGAAAATAGGAACCCTTTCTCCTAAAAACTGGTTGCCCTCCAGCATTGCAAGCACTGTTCTATCTCATCCTGCTTGGGGTTTGTACAGCACTTAGCACAACGGGTCACTAGTTTACAGTCGAGATCTCTCAAACCTGCCACAACACAAGCCAGTAATAAACAAAACCAGCTATAATATACAGTAATAACTAAAGACAGAGGTCATGATGGCTCCTGGGAGCATGGTTTCTCCTCTGTGGGGAAGTCAAAGATTCAAAGGTTGTAGGCCAAACAATGATGTGGAAAGAAACAGCCTAAATGAATTTCCCATCACACCTTTTATGCTCTTAACAGGCCATACACGTTATGTAAAGCAGCCATTCAAATCACTGACCCAATTTTCCAGTAGGTTCTCTAAATACTATTGTTTAGAGATGATATTACCAAATGTTCAGTGATACTCTAACTGACTGGAGCTCATACAAATCAAGTGTTAATGATCACATCTATGTGATCGAGACTAATATTGCAGAATTTTCTCTTCCTTTTGGAGGTTCAGCTTGCTCCATGTTGCAATCTCCAGCCTTCATTACAGTATGAACTGTCAAAGAGAGGTAGGCTCAAGCCCAGCAAATATATGAATTCAGAATGAATGGCCTCATAAGTCAAAAGGGAGGGTGTGAGAGAGAGAATATGTTCACTGCTAAGATGGTACAAGATGGAAAAAAACCCAAACTTACTTTTCTCCTTTTGGGAAGAGTCTCGTGGCCCAGCCTCTTACAAAGCCTGGGTGTCTGCTAAACCACAATAGAACCAGCAAAACAAATATCACGAGGATATTGAATTCAGCATAAGAGATGGGGCCTAATTTCTTCATTTCTGCCTTCAGCATGTTGTATGCAGCTTTTTCTTTAGCAGATTTCTCTGTCTTACAGCCCCAGCTTTTTTTAAAGCTTTAAGGAAAAGGGAGAAGAAAATACTGTAAGTATTTATATACTAGAGGGATTTAACAGGCTTACCACTCTGAAGCTGTCTCTCCTTGAGGGTAGACATAGACCAGAGCAGAAGTCAGGAACATAGAAATGACAACAGTGTCATACTATTTCATGGGGACATGGGAGTTCTCACAGGATGGGATCTATGAATGTATATAAGGCTCTGTTCAATTTGGAGCAATCTGGGATGAAAAACTCAATTTTGAATCAATAGTTGCAAAACAGATGTGCTAGTTCTCCTCAGCCTTCTCTTCAGATCAAAAATCTCTGGCACAGAGTTGAAAAACAAAAAGGTGATTCTGTCTGAATAGTAAGAACGTCTAAAGGTTTTGTCTTAGTGCAACAGTTTCCTGAATGAAAACAGGTTTCCAAACCTCAAAAGCTGATGTGAAACGGAATTGCTGTCTGCTGCAAAATGAATAACATGAATAACTTGTCACTGGGTTTGTTCTATCCAGAAGCTTGTTCTCAGTGACCTGATCTACCCATTATCATGTAGTTAAATACTTACTTTAGGCCCATGAAGGAGCACTGTAGCCAAAGCCAAGCTAGTGTCAACATCAGAAGCATGTTTGGGAACGCAAACCCAAACCAGGAAGCAAAATTCACGACATCGTTATTGTCGGGGAACAACCTGAAAAGAACAGAACAACGCTTTCTCTACTGTCAAAACATTTAGGGATCTACCCTCCCTTTAATGTGTGCTAGTGAGAATGAGACAATCCAGGACAATCATTACAAATAACCATAGGCAACATCCACAGCCTACTGAAGTCAACAGGAAGACTGCCTTGGACTTCAGAGGAGATCTTAAATGATCCTCAATTAATTTTCACTGCATTTTACTTTAATATATATAGCAGCTCATTGTTCATATTTTAGGTCTCAATAAGGCAAACACTGCTGAAAGATCTCCCATACCTTCTAAGCACCTCTCACTTCCAAAGCACCTGCTCATTTATTCCCTGACAGCATGTTGCTTTCCTCCTCCCTGTTTATAACCCCAATAGGAGACCAAGAATTTTCTCCTCCTGCACTTCTGCTAACTTGGTACTTGGCTTAAAAGAATAAAGCCAGAGTTTTAGCAGCAGCAGCTTTTAATTCCTCCCTGCATTCACCAATAATGTCTGTAGGAAAATATCAATAGCAAATCTCCACCTCGGTCTTAAAAAGTTCCACTTTGGCCACCTGGGTGTTAAAACCAATGGATAAAGTGGCTGCTGAGGCTCAAGTCCTCCATCAGTAGAAAGCAATGTTAAGGGATTGGTGTGGAGTCCGTAGAATTTCCACTGCAGAGATGGTTGCATTTAATTCAATTCTCAAGCTCAGCTTAGCAAGAGGGTATTTTGTGCATATCTCCTTTCCTTTACAAGATCCATGCAGTTTCCACAGCCACAACATGAAGGAATAACATTATAGGACATTTCCATGCTATTTTTGGCTCTCTTTGGTGTGCCTATGAGAAGAGTTAATCAGACATTCTTCTCATGCTCCTCACTGCAGTTCTTCTGCTGTTGTGCTGCATTTCAGTTGGAGGAGGCAGAAGAACCAATACCTCATGATCAGCCAGCTCTCTGCATATTACCAGCAAGTATTTCCAAGCTTCCAACCTGTAATACCAGCACCTAGCTGCCTAAGAAAGGCTGCAGCAGCAAAGTGAGGCCCATTAATTCATACACATTCCTTGCTATCAGTTCATCATCTGGTTATTGCTTAGAGTTTGCAACTGAAGCTGTCAACTAAGACTTCAGTCTGTTGGTCTGAGAAACAGTGAGATAGTGTAAATGAAAGAAAGAGCAAGAATGACTTACTGATTCATTTGGCCTTTCAACACAAGGTTGGGCCCTGTTCCAGTGAGTGTTGCAGTTCCTCCAATGCTGGCAGCATAGCATACACAAAGTGTCATTCCCTTGCATATACGTTTCCTTGTTTCCTTTTCCTCAGAAGATATGGGGTCATCTGGGACTTGTCCATTGCTTATGACTAGACACAAACAACATAACTTGCCTCAGGTAAAGTGAGGGAGGCAGAGAGTTCAAGACAGGGTCTACAGGCTCAGTGCTTCTGGTTTGTCTATGCCATTTATTTTAACAAAAAAAAAAAAAAAAGAGCCCCTACATATTTTAGGCTCATGTTCATGAGGAGCTGAAGAGAGAGGTGGTCTAAACGTTACAGTGCTAGCATAAGATGGATAGCCTTGGTCTACATGACTCAAGGGTACTGTTTCCCAGCAGCACTTTCCTGTTTCACAGAGAAGCTTAACACTGTCCAGATATTGCAGTCACTGGAACCCTTTCAATACCAGAGTAATAATCCAACTAGCTTTTAACAACTGTGGATATGGCAAAACAAACAAACAAACAAAAATCCCAAGACCAAATTCTTGTCTGGTAAAAGTCAATATGTTATGTCAGTTTACATCAAGTATGAAATTTTGCTGCTGTGTCCATTGCTCTCTGAGGTTAACAAACTAATCTTGAAGTCTGACTGGACTAACTGAACTGGACAGTGCATTTATGGCAACCAACTCAACAATGCTGAAGAATATTTTTCACACACACTAGTTACCGTCACTATAAATTAGGGATAAACTAGTCAGCAAAGCCAAGTAGTTTATTCTAAGTGGACAGAAATCCAGGAAAATTATTATTACTGATCTGACAGCAGACCGACTTTGGGGAGTCGAGAATCAACATTAAAAAGAACATCTGAAAATATGAAAACTTATTTTCAATACAGCTGCTCAGAAGCTAGAAATTAGCAACCTTACAGAACACTTTGTGACCAGTGGCATCTTTGTGGACTTGCACATCCCACATAAGCATGGTGCCTGAGCTTCCCACAATCATAGTGCATTCTCCTTCCACAAGCAAGATAAGAAACAAATTCAGAGAAGATCAAGGTCATATCTAAACTATGCTTCCAAGGACCAAATGAATATGGCAGTTGTGACAGCCTCATAACAGGGCAGCATCAGGCCACACATGAACGCTATTCTCCCACACTTGTCTTCAACGGACATGTGAGCCAGAAGAGGGGAATGGTATGTCCCAGGCAGAAGGCTTGAAGTATGGGATATGGTATGCACTGCCATCATTTGCTCTCATTCTTGCATTAGTCACACAGGGAATCATGGCTGCTCAACTTGCTAGTTCAGTGAAATCACACCTCCTTGAAAACCCCCAGGACAATCCTTACTCCTCTGAAAGATAAAGGCATCATAGCTCTGTTCTTCTATGATGCAACATAGCCCTCTGTACCAGCACAGCACACCAGTGGGATCAGAGGGAATGAACGTGTGTGTGGCTCTATTGCAGAGTCAGAGCATAAACAGAAGGACAGAAGGAGTAAAGCATCAGGGCAAGATCACATTTTAAAGTTTTCCAAAGTCTGGTTTGAGAAGAGAAAGCTTTTGGTCAAACAACACTGGATCTTCTCTTCCACATAGCTTTTACAGTATTCCTCCTTCTTCTTCCTATCTCCACATGCGATCTGGTCAATAAAGGGATATTCATTACACCAGCACCAAAATAGGTTGAGATTGCACAAAGTTTTCCAAACATTCTTAGGAGCTGAATCCCCACTAATAATCACAAGATTCGGAAAGCAGGGTACTGGGGGGTTGGAAGATATTTCTCATAGGATATGCTTTTCACATCCCTGAGCTGGCACTTAATTCCAGGAAAACTGTTGGGGGATGAGCCCAGCTTGGAGGAAAGAACATAACTATTTGTGTTGGATCTAGAACTAAGCACAACAAAATGGCAGCCATCAAAATTGGAAGTCATTTTGGAAAACCTAAATGTGATGCATTTCAGGGTTTTCATTGAGGTTACCATTCTCTTTCCTTAGGAAAGGTCCAGAGAACTCCTCCGATGCCAGGGAGCTCTGAGTGAAGCAAATTCAGTGGGATTGACCCAATCCTTAATGGTCCCTTACCCTGCACTGAAGTGGGATCTGATGGGTCCTTTTCCTCCAGCTCAATCACTGCATTAGTTTGCCCACTCGTTTGTTCCATCTTTGGCAGATCCTGCTCCGTGCTATCCATTTGATCCAAGACAGCCTGGACAATGGGAACCATCATAGCAGTAGTGGCTGTGTTACTTATCCACATGGACAGGAAGGCAGTGACTCCCATAAATCCCAGCATGAGGCTGAAAAGAGAGAAACAGATAAGAAAGGAGGAAAAAAACCGAGACACCGCTAGGCTTTATGGTCATTCAGACCTAGAAAGCAGAGCCCAGACAGGGATGCATGTAGCCTCCAGCAACGCAAAGCGGGACCAGATTCCCCCCTAGGACAGCTCTGCCATCTTCACTGAAGGAATCCCAGAAAGGCATTTGATTCATGGGTCTGCATATGATTGAGCCTGCCATCATTTTGTCCCCAATGGCAAGCACCTAGATTTTAGCCAGATTAAAATAAAATAAAACGGTAGTTCTGTAAGAACAAACCATAAAACAATGTTATTTTCCTGATTATTGCCATGAAGATAGAAAACAACACTTCTGGGTCTTGCAAATCTGGCTTTTGGCTGTAGATGCAAAATAATGGATACTGGATGCTTTTCATCACCACCACCTTTGCTAGACTTACTCTGGCCACAGAACTGGTGTCACTTAATCACCCCAAAATAAGCATGTGGCTTCCCTAGGTGCTGATGGTACCTCCATTCACAGAGATGGTGAGGGGGACCCTGCATCACTGATGGCTTGGGGCTGTGATCGAGGGGGCTCACCCAAACAGTGAAAGCCAGCACATACAGTGATAGGTCAGCTAGGTAACAATAGCACTGGTGCTTTTTAATATTGAGTTTTGCAGAGATTCTGACTAAAACAGAGAGCAAGGGTGGGATTTATCTCAGCTGACTTCAGATGTGAACAACACAGGTATCTTGATTCGACTTACTGCTTTGCCGTTGATGGGCACTTTTCGAGCATGAATCATCTGCCCTATTTAGATAGCAGATTTCAGGTGAGATGAATTTCATCTCTGGAAATGCCTGTCCCTTTTTGATGATTGCACAGACTAACTATTTGAATCAGAAGGGAATGCCTGTGTTTGGAAAACTGAATTCCATCTGAACAGTCTCATCCAGGGATCAAACCACGAACCCAGTGGAAAATGTAAGAGACTAGAGTTAGGGGCTGAAATTAATACAAAAATATTCTAAATCTGTTCAAGACATTTAGCAGACAACTGAGACGCTCCAAGCTTGAACCAGCTCATCCTGAGTCTGCAGAAATGCTCCTTTCAACTCAGGAGAGAGCTGGCCATGCTTTAGTCATAGGTGTTCTCCTATGAGGCTGTTCTTGGCTACAGGATGATAAACTGTTCCTGCAGACAGACTTAACCTCTAGAAACTCTGTGTAAGGGCAATAAAAAGTTATTGGAGCTTCCTTTCTGTGCTGACCACAGCACACCCTCCCTGAGTTGGCACAGGCTAGGAAGAGGTCATGTAATGCTCTTACAGTGCAGGTTTCACCCCAAGCATCAGCAGGACCTTCAGTGCAATCCTTTTGTGGAGATTCCACTGTTCAACAGAAATTGCGACGATCAGCCCCCCAATGAAAAGCATGTTTGTTTCCTTTAGGTACTGGAAGCACACCTGAAACACAGAGAAGATAGGTCAGGGGCATCAATATAGCCTCTTGCTGGCTTCACCAGCACAGGTTGCCTTCCATCCTCCCAAAGCCATTCACCACACCAGGCCCCACCCCAGCACCGGCAGCAGGAGCAGTTGCAGCCTCAGAACTACTTTCCATTTCCCGAACTCTTGATTCCTTGTTTAGGTGTTGAACTGGCTAGTACAGGGACAGTTACTACAACATGAACCTTCTATTTTGGATCACTAGGAGTTAACAAAGTACAACATGACAGCAGTTTCCTAAAAGATTGGATTGTTAGGGGCTCAAAGTATTGTGTAGGTCCAGTGATGCTAAGCTCCAAAAAAGATTTCTCAGCACCTTTAGCACTCACACCCCTCCTTACTGCCTTGTTGGCCAGTAGTAAGCCTGGGCTACAGTACCTAAATACAGCTTCACTCCCTTGGGCTAGAGCACTATCCTCCCACTGGCACAAACAGCCAGTCATCCTTTAGCAGAATGAGCTTTGGAGGGAATACAGTCTGCTTGCTGGCAACGTGCTGTGTACCCTTTCAGAGGAAGTTTGCCCCATGCATTTTGAAATCTCCCAGAGGACACATCTGCACTTGGAAATAATGGATGTCTCATAAGATGAGGATGAACACACAAGCTTCAGCATCAGACCTCTCCTACTGCATGAAGAGTAACTCCACAAGCTGCTTGCATTAGAGAGAGGTTCTCCAGCAGGATCCACACTTAGAGATGGACTTTCCTCTCTATCACTCCGAGGCGCACACCCTTTACTTGCTGGGAAAAGGTATATTTAGTTCAGCATGTTCCCATACATGAATGCTGAACACTGGTTAACATGTTCAAGAATAGCACCACAGGGGTGCAAGGCTTCACTATCAAACTTATTTGCTGTGTGTTGATTGGGGGATTAGAGCAATTGATACGCTGTACTGGATCTGAATTCATCCTTACCGTTTTAGAGTCCTGAACTCCAAGTAGAGGGAAAAATACAACAGGCATGAGGGAAGTAACAGCCAGTGGGATAACTTCAGTGCACCAGAAAACAGCCATGATGATGATGACATACGCACATCTGGCCTCCTGCAATACAATGGAAGACACATTTAAACATAGATATCTGTTCTTAAATATGAGAAACACACTTATAAAGAGACCAAATGTCTGCAGCTTAACAAGGTATGCAGAAATAGGCAGTAGGGACATGAGGATTTAAACTGTTATATTTAAGCCTTGTTTTTATGTCACCTGCATTAAAAAAAATCTTTTTGGCCTCAGTGGTTGTTCTAATGCACCCACCTGGAACGCAGGCTGTGAAGGAAATGCACCTTCTGCAGCCAGGTGAGTACGCCGTTCCTTGTTCAGCTGCCCCTGGCAGCTGGTGTAAGCAGGAGATTCTTTCAATAGTGTTTGTGGATTTGGGTGTTTCTATTTTGAGTATTTATTTTAAAATGGATGGCTAAATTTCCCAGAGTGGATGATTAGACTGTCTGAAATTCACCTGCCGTTGAGGTGTGTCCAGTCAGACACCTGAGCACAGAAACACGCTGCATCTCTGAACAGTGTAAAAGTTCTTAGGTAACTCTCTTATCTTTTCTTTGTGGCAATTTTGGTATTAAATACTTTCCCAGATCATACTGTGCTTACTGAATAAGTAGATTCCCTAAATTAGAAATGTTGTAACATATATTTTTACACAAGTTGATCAAGCATTTTTGTTAACTAGCTTTCCTTAGCTTATACTTTCAAAATTGTTAGAAGCAGCAGGCTAATTGTTCATTAGCTGACAGTAAACAGAGTTTTAAAGCTTAAGTCTAAGTGTGCTTTAGTTCACAATTTGCTCATATCTAGTATATGTGTTTATAGGATCTTATTCCAATGCAATAAATGGGACGTTATGGCAACAATAAATAGCGGTATAGTGACATTCAAATTGCTGTAAGGTGATATTTATAAAAAGGAGTTTTGTCTTCATTTTGTTGAGAAGCGTTTTAAGGAAACAGAAAACAGTAAGCAATAGGATTTTTTTTCAGGTTTAGAGGAGATTAATTACAGGACATGTTTTGAAAGGAATATTTCTTCATAGACTAGAAGATATCTGGCAGAATTTATACATGTTTCTTCCTGCAATAAACGTGAGATGAGCTTGTGATACAATATTAAGCTGTACAATAGTAATTAAATGCTAGAACTGAAAGCGATTCATCTGTTGCCACTACGAAAGACATGAAAACACACGTGCCTGAAAGAGAATGCTACTCTTGAATAAAACACAACACAAAAGAAACACTAGCTTTGTAAAGCAGAGAGTAAATAATTTATATAAAGTTCAAAAATAGAGCCATGCTTATAAATTAACTGCAACATCCATAGCCAATTCAAACAACCAAAGTTCTAGGATTTAAAAAGTATATATAACTGTGATTTATAGGAACAGTCACAGAATGTTTCTTTGGCATCTCTGGACAGTCCACAGCAAACACAGTGATCTGCCCTCTCCCTAGGAGCTGAACAAGCGGTCACTGACGGAAATGTTACGCTCCCATTGTGAAATACTGTAATTTCCCAGATTAGAGTGGTGACACAATATTCCTACAAATACTGGAAAACCAAAGAGATACATATTCTTCAGGGAAATCAGCTTTCCTAGTGTTGATCATGGCAGTGTCTAACAGGCAGAAGTCCCTCTTTCGGGAAGCACCCGTGTTCAGCTGGACGGCAGGGTGACCTTATTCCGCCAGGGAAACCAGAGCGGGGGGGCAGCACTGTTCGCACACACGCGCGAGGCTTTGCTCCAGTTTAAAACGCACTGAACAACGCAGGTCATTCAGGAGAAAGTTTGGTTTTAGCGTTATTATTATTAGAAGCGACTCTAAAGCTCTCCCGGACTAAACGACTGCAGAGGGAGGTGTCGCGGACCGGCCGTCGCGGGCACCG